CTCATCTTTATCTCCATCTTTTATTTATAACAAACGCAATCATGTAGATATTTTAGGGTTAGTCGTATAATTTAAATTTTAAACATGTAAATAGTCATCAATAAAAGGGGATTTAATATTTATATTATTATTGCTTATAATGTTAACTTCATCATAGAGTACCGATTAAGAGTGTTGTAGGGGTGCTTAATACCTTCCTTACACGTAACCGACCCCCAAACCCAATTCTGGTTATCAAGGCCATTATTGGATTTTGAAATTTTTTTTTTCTTTTTCTATGTTTTGAGTAAAACATTGGTGGCGAATCCTAAGAACCTATTTTCAAAACTATTGATCAAGGATTAGTCTGACCTCCGGACATTCTTTAATTGATGAAATTTTGAAAAGGATGTATAAATCATAGGTCGCAAGATCGGAAATTTTCGGATTGCGACACATATTTTTATCCAAGATTATTGGGGTGGCAACATCACGTGAAAATGAGATGGACATGCACTAAATTGATTTTGTTGCAAACTTTTTCAAATTAAGATTACGATTGTGCCTCCTTTTAAAGAACAAGCACTTGTCTACGCTAAAAATTAAAGAACTTGACGTTTGTTATTACCCCCGTAGATTGCCAAGTGAAAAAGGCACAACACACGTCTCTTTCTCAAATTTGTCCATAAAATCTTTATGACATTGAGTTGATGTGCCTTTTTTCTTTCTAATTGTGTGTGTTGGAAACCCATACTTAGATAGTAATCCTAACATTCTAAAACAACTTTTTTTCGGTTCAATAATGTTTACATGATTAGTTTTAAGGTATTTTTTTTTCCACTTCTAACGAGTTCGGAATTAATTTTGTTCTATCTAATATGATTAAAGTTATATTTGTTGCATGTTTGATTATTAATAAAATTAATTTATGATGTCAAAACTTACCTTTATTTGAAAGTAATTATTAATAATTTTTTCATCAAACAAAATTAATTTTGGAGTTTTATCCGCTCATAATTATAATTATACATTCAAAATTAATTTTAATAACAAAGTTTTAAATAACATTCAATATGAAATCAAGTTCATATATATCATTTATCATCTAAACAAAAATCATGTTACTTTTAATTTATGTTTACTTAAAATTAATCAAATTCACATCGATTTTAAATCAATTATATCAACATCATTACTGAACCAACCATAAAGTTGAGTAAGCTCTAATTTTAGGCCTCCTAAAAAATTATATAATATTAATATTTATACTAATTTTACTATTAGTTTAGTATAACAATAATTAGGATGTAATTTTTTTTTATGAATAGAGTTTGAACGTTACTGGTAAAAAAATTAATTTTTTTTTTATAAAGATCCAATTTTTTTTATTATTTTGATTAATTTTATAAAACTTTTCTACTAAAATTTGCTTTAGATCCAAAAATATGATGAAAAGCCTGATCAATGTAAATAAAAAACACATAATAAAGTTGTTTTATTTGAGGAAAAAAACTGAGTGCTTCACCAGTACATATGGTTGCATGAAATCATCCTCACAATTACATCATGCATCAGCTAGAAAAGAGTGGTTCTCATTAAACCTTGGTTCTGTTTCCAAAGGATAGAAGCGCAAGACCTGTTGGCCCAAATATTGTTTCTTAACAGACTTTTGGAACAATGCAGGAATTAACTAAGTAAGATTAAGAGTGTGTTTGTTAAAGATGAAATAGGTCAGAAATGAGAGAGAGTAAAAATGAGAGAGTGAAAATAAGTTTTATTGTTTGGTATAAGAGAAATTAGGTAATGAAAAATAAAAAGTGATTAATCTTTTTCCTGTTGTTGTCACCTTTTTATTTCCAAAAAACGCAAAAATGGGTTGGAAAAGTGCAATGTATTGTATTTTGTTGTGGTTTACTTTTGGTGATTTCAAACCTCTATAAAGTTCATTTTTTTTAAAATGTTTTTCTTGCAGTTTTGAACCGCTACAACTTTTTGTTTATATCGGCAGAAACAGTCACAAACTATTAAAATCGATTTTAAAAGTTGTAATGATTAAAACACCCATGTAATATATATATATATATATATATATAACTTACGCCAAAATGACTTTTATTATAAAAATTAAATTATACTATTATTTTATTTCTTTCATATTTTTCTTAAATCAAACAATTAAAAAAGATTTTAACTACTTTTTCTCCAATTTATTTTTCACTCATGTAGTCTTTCTTCCCTACGGATCAGAGCCTTTAATGAATTTCACTCAAAAACAGTGACAATGGATAAAAGCGTATATATTTTGACTTGTATATTAGTCAAGATAAATGTTTATTTTTATATGATTAAAATTTATAATAAATAAATTATCTAATAAATAATAAGTATGATATAAGTGAAAATGACTTGCAAATCTTAATTGATCATGAAATTTTACCTGTTGTATAAATTTGAATTTTGATTTTACGTATAAAATAATACATATTAATTAGAAAAGACAATATTTACTTATATAATGTTCACAATCTTCGACAAAAAATTATTCATTAATTACTCTTATTAATATCATAATAAAATTTCTTTTGACAAATAGAGATAAATAAGTATACAAAAGGACTAAGTTAAAAGGATATATAAAATATACAAATAAATTGAAATTATATGTATATGAAATACACATAAAGATAGTTAAAGTGTTACCCTTTAAGTTGTATATATATTTTGATTATAAGAGCAAATGATATTGATAACAATTTTCAATTTCTTCTAAGTGCATTAATTCTTAACATTTACATTGAGGAAAAAAAATTTTGATTGCTTCGGAAGTCTTCACTCTGAGTCAGAGATGATGATGATGATTGTTTGCATGCGGGATAAAGTTATGCTGTGTTCCATAATTCTAGCTCCCTGTCGATCTTGACTTTAATTTGTTAAATCAATCCCAAGAAAGAACAGAAAAAGATAAACTCACATGGAAAATTCTACACCTTTGCTAGCTTATTCAATCACAACATCCATATCTTTCCTCTAAATTTCATTTTACATGGACAAACAAACACGTGTTCTTTACAATTCATGTCCAATACAATTGCTGCATCATTTCATTTGATTAATTGATATATGTATTAGTGAATGGAGTTATATATAATATATTTTCTTAATCATATAATAGGAAGTGTTTAACGTTAATGAATAATTTTTATTAGAGAATTTATCACTTTAGAGTCTTCCTTTCAATATTATATATATATATAAAAGACTAGAGTTTAAAACTTTGCTTAAATGAATTAAGTTTAATATCATTTAGACTAATAACTTGTTAATATAATAAATTTGTTTAATTTTAAAATAATCATTTTATACTACAAATGTTTTCTAATAATTGATAATATAGAAAAAGCTATACTTATTTTTTAAAGTATTTTAGTTTTAAAATGGAATTTGCTTACGTTAAAATTTTGATAATTATTTTTTCAAGTTTCAAGAAGAAAAAATAAAATATTATTTTATAAATTAAAATTAACTTATAAATATGATAAAAAAAATATTTATTTATTTTTTACAAATTAACAAGCTAATTTCGTTATGCAGACATGTCTGATATAACATACAAACTATTATGATTGATCTAATATGATAAAAAAAAAGTCGAAAATAATATATATTAAAGTTAAGTTCAAATCTTGTTAGTGTTATTTAAATATAACAACATACATGAAAAAGAAAAATGTAAATAAATTTATATAATTTTGCAAAGAGGCGTTATTGTAAGTATTTGGTGAATAAAAATATTGGTTCTAGGGATTACACTATACTATTTGCGTAATGAATTTTATGGTTGGGGAACTTCATGTGATGGAGCAAGAGAGGACACTATTATTAAAATTAATCAATCAATCGGTTAAGAGTAGTAGCTTTCTAGAATTAGTTGTACTATTTTGAATCACAACTGCACACATGCCTTTATCTAATTTTTTCAAATCATCATATTGTGTAAGGTTCATTTTTCTTCAATTATTTGTTTTCCTTTTTAATTATGTAAATTCTATATAGTAGGGAATGCAAAAATGATATACAAGTTGGCACTTTCTTTATTATTGCCCTTCAATTAATAGGGGTATGGTATCATAATAATCATATTCTGACGTGAATAATAAGAAGTAACTCAAACTTGCATTTCTATCATTTTTCTTCTTTTTATATGAATTTAAGGATTAATATTGATGAAAGCAAAACTAAACATGCACTAACCTACGAGTGTAGGGACTGCATAATTAATTAAATATAATTTTAATATTGTTTGGTAATTTTTAAAACTAATTTATATAAAATAATTGTTTTGAAAATTAAAATAACTCAAATATGATATTTCTAGCTTTTAAATTATTAAGATTGACTAAATAGTGAGAAGTTTTAACACGATACATAAGATTCTAAATTTGAATCTTATTGTCTAGTAATTTTTATAGATAATAAAAATAGTTATAAGTTACATTCATTTTAATCTTATATGTTGTTTTGAGTTTTTTTATTTGTCTATAAATATTTGTCTTTTTTTAATATATGAAAATTAAATTAAATTTTAAAGAATTTACACCACCTTCAATCAATTACTGAAGATCTTTTTAATAACACCTTTATTTATTAGTATTCACTTATATATTTAAATAGATTCACTTATGTATTTAAAAATAAAATATTTATTTTTTAATAACATCTTTATTTATTAGTATTCACTTATGTATTTAAATAGATTCACTTCTGCATTAAGCATAAAAAGAATTCACTATATATATACTACCTTTAAACCTTTTATAACATGGATATTTGTAGTCAAAGATGATAATTTTGTGATTGTAATTTGAATAAGAATAGCATCTATCTAACTTCACCACTTCACCACTTCACCTAACCCTAATGATTACACATACTATTTATAAACACAAATAATCAACAACCCAAAATGTAAAACCACAAGAATAACACCTTCTAATATTTATTAAAAATATTTAAATTGCACCACACTTGAAGGCTCTTAGAACAAAACAGTAAAACCATTGATGATGATCATTATTACTCTCACTCACACTAACACTACTCACCATGACTCTCTTTCCGTTTCCACACAACACATTGCAGAAGCAATGCATCCATTGATCACAACTCAGAAGAAGAGAAGACAAACACAAGACAGTGGCATATAATGGGAGGAGTGACATCATCCATGGCTGCAAAGTTGGCGTTCTTCCCACCAAACCCAGCATCGTACAAGGTGGTGAAGGACGAGGTAACTGGTCTTCTCCTCCTCACTCCCTTCCCCCACCGCGAGAACGTCGAGATTCTGAAGCTCCCCACGCGCCGCGGCTACCAGATACTCGCCATGTACGTTCGCCACCCCATGGCCACTTCCACAATTCTCTACTCTCACGGCAACGCCACCGATCTCGGCCACATGTATCAACTCTTCATCCACCTCGCCATCCACTTCCGCGTTAATCTCATCGGGTATCCTTAAATCTTACTTTATTTCTCTCTCATCATCATTTCTCTCATGCTGCTCATCACAAAACAATACCAACCACACCTAAGGAACTAACTCTAACTAAGTTTTGTCCATGTGTTATGTTGCAATGATGGTAATGTTCTAGTTTTGAAAACCTTCCTTGTATAGATTAAGTCTATCACGATCTTGATCAAGTTTGGACATAATTCCTACTTAAGTTGTAACAACTTTGTATCAGTTCATCCACGTGTTGTTTCGATATTGATCGGAGAACAATATCGACCACACCTAAGAAATTATATATAACTAAGGGTTTGTTAAAGATAATGTAACACAAACAATTAATTGTATCGTGTATCATATGGATTGTACAACAATAAGGAAACTCTTTTTCCTAGGTGGATCACACAATGTTATTTGACTTGGTTCAAGATTAAAGTTTTTGAGAGATCAAAAAGGTCTAGCATGGTTGGGTGATATTTTTATTCTTCTTGATCATGTGAATGTATAAAATTTATTGGGGGAGAGAAAATTTATTTCTTTTTTATTCATCATAATTACATTGACATGATTCAAACCTATATCCATAATTTAACTCTCACTACTAGGCCGACGGTCCAAGGAATTAGTTTATGTCTATCAGTTAAGGATTTTGTTGATTAAGAAAAAAAGTAAAGTTTTTGAGATATTATCATGTGGATCATAAAATAATTTTATTTGATTAAAATGTCTTTGTTTTTATTGTTATCTATCGATTGATGCGTTTATTTTCTTGGGGGTATTAATAAAACGAAATTAATTAATACTTTTTTGATATTTAAAAGGAATAATGTATGCCCTCTCGATTGTGTGCGCTGTTGTTTTTGAATTTTCATGCTTTGTTGTGGTTGTGTTGGTTTTGGTTTCTGGATTTTTCCAAAGTTTGGTTCTTTTTGAGGATGGAAATTGGGGGCACTTGGGTTTTTGGTTCCTTGGAGGGAGGGATCGTGGACGATTTGGAATGCTGGGAAAGGGTGCTTACTAAAAAGCGGTTACTTTAGTTTTCGTGAGTTTTTGAAGGGAAAAAAAGAGTTGGAGGACTTTGTTGGACGGTATGCAATTTCTGATGAGTTGGAGGAGTTTACAGCTCTGTGTATTTTGACAAGAGTAGTTATAAATGTGCAAGCCATCTTTGGGTCATGTAACTGGAAGAAAGAGAGAGACAAATAAAAAAGAAAAGAGACAGATGATACAGTGATGTGATAAGAAAGTAAGGAGAGAAAGGAGGAAAATGGAGTAGAAGAGTGATAAAAGTGAATGTTCAGGTTTATGAACTTGAAACAGCTCATTATTTGTTAGTGAAATTGGTCTAGTACTCTAGTGGTTGGTTAACTAGTATCTGGAAGTGTGTGTATTTAATCTGTAAAGAAGAGTCTTGTTAAGAGTATTGTTCTCTATTATCTGTGTTGATCAACTCAGAAGGCGATTGTGACACGGGGATTTGAGTACGGTTGTGTGTGATTTTGTGCAGGTATGACTACTCTGGGTATGGCCAATCATCAGGGAAGGTTTGTAAGAATATGAAAATGCTTGTTCATGTTGATGTGTCATGCAGTGGTGATGTGGAGGGTGGTAGAGCTAAAACCATTTGCTGATGAAACATTGTTTTGCCTGAACTGCAGCCAAGTGAGCAGAATACATATGCAGATATTGAGGCCGTTTATAAGTGTCTAGAAGAAAGCTATGGCACCAAGCAAGAGGACATAATCCTGTATGGTCAATCTGTTGGAAGTGGCCCTACTTTGGATCTTGCAGTTAAATTGCCTCATTTGAGAGCTGTTGTTCTTCACAGTCCCATACTTTCAGGCTTAAGGGTCATGTACCCAGTAAAACGTAGTTACTGGTTTGACATATATAAGGTAGCATAATGTTTTGATTTCTAATCAATTATTGACATTTCTAATCAAATATTGCTGGTTTACAGGCACATGAATTACTCAATCTAATCAGCTGCTGCTTTGTGTTGATGTGCAGAATATCGACAAAATTCCACTTGTTAATTGTCCTGTTCTCATAATTCATGTAAGTTTTCTTTGAGGATGCTGCATCAATTTTTGTTATTGAGTTAGCCTTGGCTAAAGAAACATTTACTTTTGTTTATGTTTACATGGTATCCTTTTTCAAGAATAACATATATGTGGCATATTTTTTTTTCTTTGTTCTTTCCCTTTTAAAAGAATTTTTTTACTTTTATTGTAGACTAGTTGTTTCAACCCAACTGTTAACACTTATATAGTTCTGAATTTGGAAGATGAGGGAAAAAAAAATATTTCCTCTAATTTTTTTCCATATGACTTGGAATGCTTTAGTTATGTCTCATGTCTATGGCAAACTTTTCAGGCCTTGAACTTCATATTTATCATGCTAAATGTACTAAAATTTTGTTCACTTGAATTACTCAATGTAGATAAGTTTATTCAGGGAAACGAGTATAGTTTTAACTTTAAAGCAATTAATCAGTTAAAAAACTACTGGTTTTCTGCATGTGGAGCCTGTTTTGCGTATCATGCATATTGTTTCTGGTCTATAAGGATGCCCCATGCGGACATTAGTGAGAAATTGTGTCAGTGACAAGTGCCTTTTAGAGAATTTTGTCTTTCATGATTCCTTATATGAACTACTTTTGCAGCCATTTGATGATTACTATTGTGAATGAAATACCTGCACAATATTTCAGACTCTTCGCCTTTTTCACTAACACTTGTCCATCCATTATGTTATGTAGCCAAAATAGGTAAGGTGATCTCAATACATATATTTCACTTCTAAATAATGAAGTTTTCCATCAAACACTTACAGTGGTAGCAGAATTTGAAGTTCAGACCCCAATAGATAATAAATTAATGACAGTATGACACAATCTTGCAAGCTATTAGTCATCATTTTTTTCCCTATCTTTTGACTTGAGGATTTAAGAAACTTCATTTGTCTCAATGCACTTTATCTGCAAATGTTTACATAATGAAGAATCTGGTTAAACTCTTAAGATTGAAGTTCCTTAATGTTATCATGTAGGGGACATCAGATGAAGTTGTAGATTGCTTCCACGGCAAACAACTCTGGGAACTGTGTAAAGAGAAGTATGAGCCACTGTGGCTCAAAGGAGGCAACCACTGTGATTTAGAGCAATTTCCTGAGTACATCAAACATCTGAAGAAGTTCATAGCCACTGTTGAGAAGTCTCCATCACAAAGATACAGCTTCAGAAGAAGCATGGAACAGTTCGAGCAGCCCCGAAAGAGCACCGACGTATTTGAAGCTAGCAGAAAGAGCACTGATCGCAGAGAAAAACCGAGGTTGAGCACTGACAGGCCTGAGAAAATGAAGAACCTGTCCAATAGTGGTGATAAGTTAGAGAAAATGAGAGTAACTTTTGATCATATGGAAAGGTCAAGGAGAAGCGTGGATTGTATTGAGAAATCTAGAAAAAGCATTGATCATCAACTTGAAAAGGCAAGGAAGAGTGTTGACAGGTTGGAAAGAATAAGGAACTGAGACTCTTGGTTTAATCAAATTATGGTTTGGCTTTCTTAGATTTTTTTTCTTCTTTAAATTGGCCTACTTGGTTGTGTAATATGGTTTATGTCAGATATGATGATAAAATATTGGTGTCAAAGGAAGGGCTTGGTTTTTACAGAGGAATGCACTTTTCACTAGACTTGTTCCCTCCACATGTGTGTGATTCACTGATTTGTATAAGAATTGCTACCAAAACTTACTGAACTAGGCATTGACAAGTTTTCTTGTACACTTAGATATGCACAAGAAACATTTCTTTCTCTTTTTCCTTTAGGCTATGGATATTTTCTGTGTTGAGAGCATAGGTTTAAATTTAAAGTGTCTATTCATTATGGATTATGATTGATAACTAAGCATTTAGCAGAAAACCGATAACAGAGTTATATCAGAACTTCTGACTGATAAGTGTCATCTAAATGCTAATTAATTTAAAACGTTTAGATAAGTATAAAGACATTATATATATATATATATATATTTTTTTTTTTAATGCTTTGTTTGGTAGGTACGAAATCACGAAGAAATAAAGAGAGGACGAAGAAACGGCGAAGATACAAAAATTGATAGTGGTTTGGTAATAAAGAGATAAATATGTCACCAAAGTAAAAAGGTATGTAACTATGATAATCCTCACAATAAATAATAAATGTGTTGAAATTCGTTCGTATTTGATTAACATATTACTCACAATCAATTAAATTGATTTTCTATACTAATATCGTAAGAAGTTTTTATTTAAATAAATAGAAATTTTATTCGATTGCGTTTACATTAAAAAATGTTTATTTTTGAAACTTTCAATCGATTACAATTTTTTTTATTCAATTAAAATTTTTATATGAATATTTAATTGTTTATATACTTTAAATTTATTTACTTAATTTAAATTTATCATTTTAATTAATTTTTAATCTAATTTAATTCTATTTTGGAATAATTTACTTACTTTTAATTTGTTATTTATTTTATTTCAAAATATTATTTATTTAGTTATATAATTTTTATTTAATTGATTAAAATAAAAAATAATTATTAAAAATTTATTTTAAAAATATATAATTTTATATATATTTATATTTATTTATTTTTCTATTTTATTTTTTATATGCTTTATTTCTTACCTATTTCTTTTTATCCTGTCAAACATATTTAGTATTATTTTTTACGTATTTATCTTTGACAAAATAACTAAATTATTATTATTTTTTTATCTATTTTCATTTACATATTTCCATTTCTCGCTTATTTATTTTCTTTCTACCAAACAAACTATAAGAGAAACGTTAGTAATACTTCTTTCCTAAATTCTAATACACTCTGTACCTTTAAACTTTTATTTAAAGTTATAAAATTAATAGTGTGACTTTTTTGATATATATATATATATATATATATATATATATGAGAATCCAACTCAAAATTAAACTAGAATAAATTACATATAATTTTTTTTTTATCTATGAAAATCAAAGTCGTACAAAAGAGTTTATAACACTTCTCTCAACTAATTGAGTTAGATATTCTGATAACGTTCGGTTAACTTTATTGTAAACAGTGTAATTAATTAAATAAATAAAAATTCTCCCCTTTCGTTCCTCCCAACTCAATAAAAACATTGTTAGAAATTATAATTAGTTTGGAAATAATAATTAAAATGCAAGGAGAATCAGATCTTGATTAGGAAGTTCGTAGTTCGTAGTAGGTTGAACATTACTAAATCACGACCCAGCTTCATATTCTTTAGTATTAGTCTACTCGCGTTCAACACTTGGAAAAATGATCTAAAAGAATATTACATAACACAAAAGCAATTGACTTTACAACCTTGATGCTATTCTTTTTAAGTGTTCAATTTTTTCTTTTATATGTACTTTCTAATGACTAACAATAAAGTCAAAACTGCAGACACCGTTATTTGTTCTTGTGTTCACTATAACATCCTATTTTTTTTTAAATAAAAAATATTTTAGATTAATTGAGCTATAATATAGAAAAATACTTTTTCTTAAATAAATAAAATAAGTGGGTGGCAAGTTAGAAAATATTGAGTTGAATTTTGGACTCAACCTAAAGGCTTATTAAAAGAAATATAAAATAAAGGGATTAGATTATTACATATATTGTGGAAACCTAGAGCAATGACAAAAGTGTAATGGCGGTTGGAGCTAAAGATGTAACAACCTGCCTAATCATTACACTTATTACAAATCAACAACAACTAAGTAGAAGTACAAGTATCAAACATTTGCCTAGGGTAGCAAACCACAAGTAGGTAAATCTTATGCAAATTGTCATATACGTAAGAAATAAAATAACTGGTTCTAAACATATATACATACATCATACAAAAGAAGCAAATGTTGTATATAAAATAAACCTAGTTGTCGGCCAAGTGTCTATACAAGATCTAGCTATCTCGAGGTAGCAACATCCAAAAGAGAGCCACCTCTAGCGTGACTCATCACCAAATAACACAACTCAACCTACTAGTCTTGGCTTACTTTCATACCAGGTATAATCGTAGCAATCCAAAACCATAAAGGAAAACATAGAGTAAGTTTGTGATACAAAAGCAACGTCACACAACAACATGCAATATAAACAACTTAAAAGAAACATCACTCATTACATCATGTCTTGCCATACAACTTAAAGTACCCAAACACCTGTAAAACTTAGGTAATTCATCACAGTTATCGAATAATACATCGTCTTTATACAATATTACATTCGCATTGTTCATTGTATAACAACTCATACAGCTTTGCGTCTTTAACTTAACAACATTTATATACACATATATACATATATAACCAACACTTGTTATGTAACAAGAAACATGGACAACGATAAGTACCAATACATCACAAACAACTACAACAATACAACCATTCATACAACTTCAATCCACCCAACACATTCAATAGAATAACATAGATATACTATTGATACGTCATCACACATATCAACCATAAAGATCTCCTACAATTGAGGTAAGTATTTTAAGTGGTTTGATCCTATCGAATCACAACAGCTAGTATAATACTAAATATAACGACTGACACTAAGGCCAAAAACAATCGCTAGCACAAGGCGATAATTAATGGCTAGCATAAATTAGATTGATTTATTAGGTTTCGCCACTTAAACTAGGAAGTATGGTATCATGTCAAGGTAAAATAATTTAGGTTTCGACTTGTCATGATATTAGTTTATAACACTAAGCCTCCTATATGAGTAGTCCACCAACTATTCTCCAAATATCACAACCCTCCAATACTCAGTTAGGGACTAAGTCCCCAATTTCGTACTTTACTTGATTAGTTACTTATAATCAGTATAACTCTACCTTGCCCCATGCTATGGTCACTTTATACATGTGTCTCGACCTTGCCTACGTACGAATATCACATGAACCTAGAGGAGACAACTAAAAATGATGTACCCATTCAAAAGTCAACTTATTTATTGAAGGGTTCAACATACATATATCAGCAAAATGGAATATTAAAGTTTGAAAACATCTTTAACGCTACTCTAGTTCCTATGTATTTGAACATAAACATGTATAACAACCACATGCCTAACAATTGAACAACTTAATAACTTCTCTTTGTGCATCATTATAGCTTAAACATCATTCAACTCATGTCTTAACCATACAACAACATAACATCATATCAGCTTACATCTTTACAACTTAACCAACTATCAGCATACATACCAACTTTCAACTTAACAACAATAATAAACACAATATTTAGCATGTACCTCATCACATACAACATCAATGTACAACCTTATATATTGTCAATATATCATTTCATCACACATCTCCAATAACTTTGAATCATACAATTCTTATAACTTACGCATCAACTAACTTACATCATTCAACTTATAACACTTTATAGCATATGCAACATATCCATAAATCACCTTTCGCCTTAACAACATAATTATCATCATACATCATCCATCATATAGTTCATATATCTTTATTAAATTATAAGAAAAGTTAAAACATCATACAATATGTATCAACATACAATTTGTCAAAATCAACTATCATACAATGACAACCTTCACATAACACAACACAATTGGGCACTAATCCAATCAAACTCATCTTTACTCATATGAAAGATAAAAAGGTTAATACAACTCTTATGAAAACTTCAATTTCTAACTCCATTATCTAATATACTGAAAATCACAAAAAACCACATCAATTTGCCTAAATTCCAACAATTTGACCTTTATTGACTAAAAAGTCATAACTTGAGTTCTATACCTCCTTTTTAGGTGATTCCAAAATCATTAAAAGTTAACATCTAGGTATACAACATTAATATAGACAAAAAAGTCTAATTTGAAAAGTATTGATCCCCTTAGCCATTTCAATTCCACTTAGTGGATCTTGAATCAAGTAGTTTTTGTCTCAATTCTACTTAGCCTTTTCAAAACAACTCAACCCTTTCAATTTTGCTTAGAAAATTTCTTATAAAGACACCCTTATTCTCATTCCCAATTCTACTCAATCATTTCAAAATCGCTTAGCAGATTTGTGATAGAGACAATCTTTATTGCTCACGATTTTGGGTTTCCAAGCCCCTCTAATCCATTCCAAGCTCACTTATAAGCTCTAAACTCAAACTTAAACAACAAAACTATCTGAACATCATCAATACTTTATTTCTAACGAAAAAACAACTTACAACAAGAATTTGGGTATGAAGTCAACAAAATCAAGATATTTCCCCCAAAACCCCAAATATCTAAAAAATCCCCATGGTAACTCCAAATATCAATATAATCTGCCACCAATGGGCATATCTCAACAATGCATTCAACATCCAATAACAAAGGATAAAAAAATCAAGCTTCATTTACCTCAATCCATGGAAAGCCAAGTAATAGGAGGTAAATGAGAAATTGACTTCAAGTCTCGAATAAGAGAGCTCTACACAACTTTGTGAATAGATTCTCAAATTCACTAGCTTGGAATCCTTACCTCTAAGGTTCTAAGCAATTGTAAGGGAGGAAGAAAAATGATTCCTTAGCGATAGAAGAAAAAAGGTAAGAGTCACTCTCTTAGAGCATTTCTCACTAGTCCTTCTCTCTAAACTTTTTAAAACTTGAGTTATAAGTCCAAAACTTAAGAGAACCCTTTTATACCTTCCTTCAACTGACCCAACCTAACACACAACACAACTCCTATAAAACAAACACATCAAAACATGAGTGTTAC